CCTTCCTCTTTTTATTCCCCCCACCAGCTGTCCACCACCCCCCAGTCCTACGATCCGGCCACATCTGAGCTCCCCTGCCCCTGTGAGAGAGGTCCCCCTGGCCCCAAAGGAGACGCGGGAGCACCAGGCAGGCCCGGGCCCAGAGGAGAGAGGGGGCCAAGGGGGGAGAAGGGCTCTCAGGGGCTCTGGGGCTCCGTGGGGGCTCAGTCAGGGGCTGGTACGGCCAGCGGAGAGGATGCTTGGAGGTGGGGGCTCTCTTCTAAGGCTCCTTTTCTTGTTAGAATAATTGTGAAGGGTGCTGACAAAATGAGTTACTTCTCGGATTCGAGCGGATTTGAGACCTAGGGAAATAGATGCGTCACTCTTATATGGGTGAAGTTTTTACCCTTTATAAGTATGAACTAATGAAAGGCTTTTTAAACTTAAACAACATTATGGCATCAATAAAAAATGTACAAATTTGACCCTGGTGTCAATTTTTAGCCAATATCTGCATTTGTGGATTGCGAGAAGTAACTCATTTGTCATCATGCCTCACATTATAGGGTTTCTCTTTCTTCTTGTCGGTGTTTGCTGGTGGTGGGTTTTTTGACGTTGGTGTTGTTGTTCCTCCAGTGTTGTCGTTGTCGCCATTTTTGTTGCTGATGTCGTTGTTGTTGTTGTTGTTGTTGTTGTTATTGTTGTTGCTCTTGGTGGTGGTGGTGGTGGTGGCGGGGGTGGAGATGATGAGTGTGATTGTGGTGGTAATGGCGGGTTTTTTTGTTAATGTTCTCGTTGTTCTTGTTGCTGTTGCTGTTCTGTCGTTGTTTTTGTGGTTGTTGCTGTTATGTCGTTGTTCTTGTTGTTGTTGCTGTTATGTCGTTGTTCTTGTTGTTGTTGCTGTTGTTGCTGCTGCTGTGTGCGGTAGGGCTAAAAAAGAAACTAACCAGCTCATTTGTTAATGGGACTTATAGCTACTACTGTAGTAAAAATAGCATAGCTCTATCTAACTATAAAATTGTATTGACCCTCCTCGTTTCCAGTTCAACGACGCCAATTTTTGAGCGAGATGAAACGAGGGACGAAGAGGTGCAGGCTGACTTGAAGAAGAAAAGGAGGAAAGAGAAACGGAGGAACAAGGAGAGGGAGGAGGCGATTGTGAAGGAGAACAAAGGTATAGGTTTGTGTGAGTGTGTGTGTGTGTGTGTGTGTGTGTGTGTGTGTGTGTATGTCTGTGTGTATGTGTGTGTGTGTGTATGTGTGTGTGTGCGTGTGTGCGTGCGTGTGCTATTATATATTATTATACATTCTTGACGTTGGTGGTGCTTTTGGGGTTGCTGATGCTGATGTTGTTGTTGTTGGTGGTGGTGATGTTGTTGTTGCAAGTATATATTGTTGCAGTGGTTGCTGCTCTTGATTTCGTTGACACGTCCGTTGGGTGTTTTTGAAGTCGCTGTTGGTAACAGTGTTGCTTTTATTGTCGGTGTTTTTAAATGACCCAAGAAAAACGATCTGCCTTCATTTTAAGCATATCTGTACGTCGTGTTTTACTATCGTATCCATACTACGTGGGGAACTCTGTGCCACCATTTTCCAAAATGGAAATTTACTCGCGGTGGCATCTCTTTGGGGAGGATTCAACGAGGTGAGACTGCCTCACCCGCTACCCAAGAGAGGCGGTGGCCCTGGCGAAGAGCTCACTCTTCGGGGCTCCTAATATTTCGAACGGATAGGCTGCCACACACACAC